GTCTTTCCAATCTGGAGCCTACTGACTTTTCACTCTGGGAAATTCTCTTACATTATTCACTAATAATTTCCTCCCATTTATTTTCTCTCTTCTCTCTTTCTGGGACTCTAATTAGTCAGAGGTTGGACATTCTAGATTTTCTCTCTGATGTTTAAAATCTTTCATTGCCTAGTTTTCATGACACTGTCTTCTTGTTCTGTTATCTGAGATGTTTCCTTAATTTTTCATCAGTCCGTCTATTAAAATTTTAATTTCAGCATTCTTATTTTTATTTATAAGAGCTCTTTCTTGATCTTGGCTTCTTTTTTTAGCATTCTGTCCTTGCTTTGTGGATGCAAACTATTTGTTTATCCTCTTGAAGACATGGACAGTCATTTAAAAAGCTTCTTCTAAACTCTGCATTGTTTTGGTCTCCTCCAAGTTCCTTTTCTCTCTTGGCTTGTTTTAGTTTCTGTCTTTCCCTGAATGTCTGGTAAGCTTTTGGCTGCCTGTTTGAATTTAAGCACTAGAAGGTGACTGCAAGATCTGAAGGGAGGGGAACAGTTTGTTGCATGGTGAATGTCACTATACGATAATAAGGTGGAATGCTGGATTTTTACCGAGGGGACCCAAGTGTCAGTTCTGTAAGTGTTTTCTCTTCAGTCAGTTTCCCCTGGAAGGAATTCACGAATCTCCTGCTTCTGGCGGGGGAGGAGGGGTATTAAGCCTGGCTCCTACCATTCTGGGAGCCAAGCAAGGAAAAGTGGCTGAGGGTTTTAAGACTGCTTTTGGTACAACGTCAAAGCTCTGCGGAAAGTGAACCTCACATCTCCTGCCAGGACGAGGGAGGAGTAGTCTCTGGTCGAGTGGATCTGGGCTCTAGCTCTTCTTCATACAAACTTTCAACTGTCGGCGGCACAAAATCAGCTTGATGTCGTTGGCTTCCTGACCCAGCTTTCTCTGGTCTGTTGTTGGTTACCGCTCATCCAGCCCTTTCTAGCTTCCAAACATTTGTTGACAATCTCTCACTTGCTGGCATGTCTTTTTCCATTCTCTTTGTCTTTGTGGGTTTATGACATTTTATTCTTTGTCATTTCAGTGGTATTTCATGAGAGCAGAGATAAAACATAAATTTAAACCACTGTATTTAATCATCCTCACTCACTCTTCAACTCTCTGAAATGTCTTCTGCCTAGTTTCCTGAGTGTTCTTTCCGAGGTCACCAAATGGATACCTTGTTGATAAATCTAATCGACATTCCTTTGTTTTATCTTACTGTTTCATCTTACTTAATCACTCAGTAACATTTGTCCCTACTGACAATGATTCCTACTTGAAATTTCTCTGCCCTTTGCTTCCATGAACACTCCTGCTTTTCTCCCTACCTACTTAGTTTCTTTTGCCTTTGGGAGCAAATCACCTTTGACTTATTCCTTTAATGCTGTTCTTTATGATTCTGTTTTAGGCTATTCTCTTCTCTCTTGAGAATCATCTGTCCAACCTAAATATCTTCATCAGCGGTTTCTCACAGGGTCTGAAATTCTTCCCCACCAATAATAATTGTAATAATCTATTATGGACCATGACTTCAGTTAAAATGAAATTTCCACTGGGAGAGTATTCCTTCCCCCTTACAAATGACACTTACCATATTGTCCTTGAGAGATAACTAATGTTGTTTTGCTTAAACATATTAAACATAGAAACACACACTTACATATACCCCAATGCCATTTTTACTCATCCTTAACTTCCCAGCCACTGTTAACATTTGGGAGTATAGTACCCCAATATTTAGATTTTTATTTTTATTTTTTTTAAGATTTTTATTTATTTGAGAGGGAGAAAGAGTGCATGACTGGGGAGGGGCAGAGAGGAAGGGAGAAAGAATCTGAAGCAGACTCTGCACTGAACATGGAGCCTGATGTGGGGCTTGATCCCACGATTGTGAGATCATGACCTGAGCCAAAACCAAGAGTCAGACACTTAACTGACTGAGCCGCTCAGGTGCCCCTAGATATATATTTCACAAACAGAAGGTCATGCTGCATATACTTCATTATACTCTATGTTTGAAACTTAACAATATATCATGAACTTGTCCCTGTCATTGGATATTATTGGATAACCTGATTTCCAGTGGCCTAGTAGTATTTCATCTTTTGATGTATAACACATTACTTAGCTCAGTCCCCATGGTTAGACAGTTAGCTTACATGTGGTATGTTGAGTGCCCTTACAGTTGTATCTTTGCTTACACCTCAGTTATTTCCTTAATAAAAAATGTATGAAGTAGAACTGTGGTGTCAAAGAATATTTGCATTTTAATCTATATTGGTATTTAATGCCAAATTGATCTCCAAAATTTGTTATCAATTTCAGTCCTAGTAAAATATGTAGGCATTATCTCATACAGGCATAAAAAGCTCCTATAAGAGACGATGGACTCTGAAAAACAAACTGAGGGTTCTAGAGGGGAGGGGGTGGGGGGATGGGTTAGCCTGGTGATGGGTACTAAAGAGGACATGTTCTGCATGGAGCACAGGGTGTTATGCACAAACAATGAATCATGGAACACTACATCAAAAACTACTGATGTAATGTATGGTGATTAACATAATAATAAAAAATTTTTTTAAAAAGCTCCTATAATTGTCACTATTTATATTCTTAAATGCTATCTCCTTTTAATTTACATTTATTTGATTCCTCATGTAGTTGGGCTTTTAAATATATTTTTAAGAGGTTTTATTTATTTATTTGAGAGTGAGAGAGAACATAAGCCAGGGGAGAGGCAGAGGGAGAGAGAGAGAGAAGCAGGCTCCCTGCTGAGGATCCTGGGATCATGACCTGAGCCAAGGGCAGACGCTTAACTGACTGAGCCACCAAGGCATCCTGGGCTTTGAAATATATTTGTTCCCTATTTGTTTTCATGTGGTGTGAATTAACTTTTTGTTTTATTTGTCTATGCTCCTTTCACTACTCTCCTTTCTGCTCATTCCTAGACACCTTAAAATCTGTTCTGCCCCCAGTTTTGACCCCTTCCAGTCCATCCCTGCAGCCAGCGTACTCTTCCTAAACATAAATTTGAGCCTCACTTCTCTGCCTAAAGTGCTTCAGTGGCCCACACTGCTCTTTGGATAAAGTGCAAAGCTTGCAATATGGCCCACAAGACCCTGCATGACTTTGCTAATTCTCCAGTGTTCGGGCAAGGGAGAGTGCACACATCCACATAGTCTCTGCTTACCTAACTCCTACTCACTGTGTAGGTCATTGTGTAAAATGAACTTCCTCTGGGGAGATTTCCCTTAGTGCCCAAGTCCCTGCCAGGTGGGTTTTGTGTATGTTACAGTCCCTTTGTAGCAGCACTTCTATTGCCTATTTAGTATCTTTCTCCTCCATGAACTGTGAACTTCGTGAGGGCAAGGACCACAATTGTGTGTCTCCAGTGTGCTTAGCACAGTGCCTGGCACATTAGTTGTGCTCAGTGAGTGTTGGATGGATGGATGGATGGATGGATGGATGGATGGATGGATGGAAGAAAGATTGGGGAGGCCAGGAAGAAATTTCATGAGCCAATTTTCTGCCTTAACTCTTGCCCTCTAGGGGTTGTTGTCTTCTTACTCATCAAATCCTGGAAGAGGGGCCATTCAGCGTGAGACCTGAAGATTATACTGCTAGTCTTTCATTTGTTTATCCTGGCCTACAGTTCATTCCTAAATCATCTCTATTTTCACAAACAGCCAAGAGGTCCTGTTGGTAGAAGTGTAGCAGGGTGTACATGCATGAGGATATCTGTTTAACTCCTCAACCCCTTAAAACTAGTTCACCATGGAAGTTTCCTCTCTGGCCTTCTTACATTCAGTGCCTCTTCCCTTCATTCTACCTGCATATTGTTGCCAAATTAATGTTTCCTTCCATTCTGTCATTTGCATGTTCAAGGATCTTCAATGGCTCTGATTCAGAAGGTCTGTCACAGGACCTCAACATGTACGCTTTGGTCAAAACTCCCCGAGAGAATTCTGATGTGTAATCATGGTTAAGAATTGCTGAAGCACAAAAAAATTTACCTAATTTTTTTTAAAAGAGCTGTCTAAATTGGTTCAGGGTATAGAGCTTAGAATCCAATGAACATGGATTCAGTTATATTTCTTTTTTTTTTCTGACCCTTACAGGTTGTGTGACTTTAGGCAAGTTACTTAAGCTTTCTATGTGTCATTTCTTGTTTACATTATATCTCATTGTCATTTACAAAATGTAAATAACATTTACTACACAAGATTATGGCAAGAGGTAAATTAAACAATGTACGTAAAGTGCATGCATGGTCTCTTCTATCTACTAAATGCTCAGTAAATGTTAGCAGCTGTGTTGTTGTTAGTCATTCCATTATTCATTCAACAATTGTTTGCCATGTGTCCAACACTGTGTTACAGACCATGGAAGATATGAGAGGTACAAAATATACATCCTGCTTTTGAGATGCTTAGTACTAGCTGGGGAGATAAAACTAGCATAGCATTATATAATCATAATAAATAATAATAAAATTAAATTCAAATGTTTTAAAAGAGTGAATAAAGTACAGTATTCAGGTGAAGGCTTGAACTCAGCCCCAGCATGCTGGCTTGTTTATTAGCATAAAAAAAATAGAGGGGGAGAAAAATCTCTCAAACTGCTCTTACCAAGCCTTCAGAGGTCTAGTTTTGATGCTGCCTGCCAGATGGAAAATGATGCAGAAGGGAAAAAATCCTGTATTTACTTCTCAAAATTAAGACAGGATGGGGGAGTGTGTTTGAGGGGTGAACATATGTGAATAAATATGGTATAACCCTTAGTTGGTTCCTGATGATTAAATTTTAAATGGTTTCCATTGGAAAAGCACAGATACGATATTTTTCACTTAATGAATTAAGCCCTATGAGTCATTTATTTTCACCTTGTTGAACCAGAAATCAAACATTGGATAAAGGTTGCAAACCGATTTTGATGTGTATTGATGGACTTTTTCTCTTTTCCAGGGTCGCTATGGCAACAGCATCTTCTCAAGTTCTGATTCCAGACATCAATTTTAATGATGCCTTTGAAAACTTTGCTTTAGATTTTTCCAGAGAAAAGAAATTGCTGGAGGGGCTAGATTATTTAACAGGTGTGAAAATACTGTGGTTTCCTTCCCATTTTAATGCTTGTCTTTTGGTGTTCTCTTACTTTAAGGTAATCGGAAAAGGACAATATTTGTAATGAAGATGCTTTTATAACCTTTAAGACAATACATGTATCCTTTTAGATAGAATATATTTTAGCTCATGTAACAGAAAAGAAAGATGATGTGTCAAATATTTCTGGGGGCAGACGGGTATACCATCATACCTAAAGGTCAAGAAAAAACAAGATATTGCTGATGGATTTCTCCTTATGAGCCTATCAGCAATATATTGTTGCTTGTTGTTGAGGGGGTTAGAACTCGGGTGGCAATTATGGAATATTAAAGATTGTCCCGCATAGGTACAGGTACCATTCAAATTGTTTTAAGGAAATTTGAGGATCTGGCAGAGTAGGACGAAAAATGTAACAATTTTAGGAAATGAGGGATGCAAACAGCCTATGAAAAATGCTGGCTACCTTCAGGATTATTGAATGGCCACTTCATGAGAAAAATACACACGTACAATAACTTTGCATTGTCTTATTTTTGTTAACATATTAAAATAACTGTCACTTATTGAACAACTACTTTATGCCAGACACTGTGTATTGATTTTATAGTATAAATATGTACCACAAATCTGTGAGGTAATGATCATCCCTTATTTCACAGACGAGGGAACACATATTAATTTGCACTTGGCCATCCTGCCCAGAATAAATGATAAAACTTTTTTAAAATAAAGAGAAACAGGTCGAAGGTCATGCAATAAGAAAACCACGTGACCACTGGAGGTCTCAGCACGTGGCTTCCATCGAACGCTTCTCTTTTACGAAGAGAACCTCCTCGCCACGAGATGTTGAGTTGGGCAGCAAGAGTGACAATTGTTAAAATTTCGGAACAGAGAGTGTGCCTTTCTCACCTGCTTTTCCACCTTTCCTTACAGCCCCAAATCCACCATCTATCCGAGAGGAACTGTGTACTGCCTCCCATGACACCATTACAGTCCACTGGATCTCGGATGATGAGTTCAGCATCAGCTCCTATGAGCTTCAGTACACCATATTCACTGGCCAGGCTAACTTCATCAGTAAGTCATGGTGTAGTTGGGGCCTGTGGCCAGAGATAAGGAAATGTAAGGAAGCAGTAAGCTGCTCAAGATTGGCCGGGGCGCCACGAGGCAAGTGTTTGTAAGACATGTTAGGTTGTTGAGTATAGTGTTTCTCGTAGACAGTGCAAGCTCCCCCAGGGCATTGCAAAGACCATATTGCTGGGTGGACAAGCAAGGTGTGTATTTCCTTGCTGGGGCAGTCACGGGGGCCACTCCCATTTGTTTATGTAATCCTTGGCCTTTCCTCAGTTCATCCATGTCACTCTACTCACCCTGAGTCAGAACCCAGCGCAGAATTCATTCCTGGGTAGCCACGCCACCGTCATTGCTGATTCTGTGTGTGTGAACATCTCTCTCCTTGGCTCTTCTTCCACTTCATTATCGTGATAAAATACATACATCACGTTCAAGGATGACTACTTCCTTCCCCCGGACCTATTTGTGTCAGCGACTGTAGTGATAAGCCTTCTGCCTTTGTCACTGTACCCCCTCTCCCCCTCCTCCGAGAATGACACCAAATACAAAAAACGTGTCAGTGGGCCACAGAATGAAATCTGTTCAAAAAGCAGTCACTGAGCTCACATGTTATGGTTTCACCTTTTGATGAATTGGAGCAAGACGAGGCAGAATAGAAACTTGACTCATCGATGGCTAGATAAGAGGGACCCGGCTGTGAGTTCCCCTCCCTGTGTGGGGGAGAACTGGAAAGCAGAATTAAAACTGGCTTCAAGACCGGAACTGATTCCCACCCTAAGGTGCACCCTGGGTCCCCGCCCTAGTCCGCAGAGCTGCAAAGTAGTATTTTCTTTTACACCTTTGTGCTTGTGCTTCTGTGTCTGACTTCGCAGGCCCACACGAGAGGAATTTTCCCAATGAAACCCTCCAAATAGGCTTCCTTTTCCTGTCTGGTGCCAATGCTGGGCCACATGGTGGGCTGGGGAGGTGAGAGGACATTGGGGGTCACACTCGAAAAACACTTGCCTCGTGCAGCTCCAACCTAAGCCACTTGGCCTGGGTAGCTGTGCTCCTAGGTGTTGTTGTTTTTTTTGTTTTTTTTGTTTTTTTCCAGCTTACGGAGTCACACACTCTAAGGCCTCCCTGACATGCTTTCCTGCCCTTGTCTGTCTCTCTCCTGCTCTGGCAAGTCTTACAGCCAGCAACTGAGCTTCTCCTTCCTGAGAGGGGGAAGGCGGTGGTCTCCTGGGAGCTGAGACATAAGTCCAAGCAACAAAGATCTAAAGGCTGTCCTCTCCCTTTTCAAAGATATATAGTCCTGTGTAGAAGAACTTAAAGGATAATTCTTAATGGCAATAGGATCATAGCGCCTTAGGCTTGGAAGGAACCTTAGAAGGCCTTTAGGCTAATCTTCTTCCCTTCTACCAGGCACCCAGTGGATGATTGTCCTGTCTCTACTGGAACAGTTCCAGTTCCAGGGATGGGTAGCCCATTTCTAACAAAATAACTCATTCAGTTGTTGTGCAGCTATAAATAATTGTCAGGGCTTCCTTATGGAGGGCCTAACTCTTCCTCCTAGTAAATAACAATGACAGTAAGAATTGATACGTGCATTCTGCTTTGTCATTTATAAATGCTCCCACATACATCATCTCACTGAGTCCTCATGAGTTCTTCCTTAGGCTTATGAAATAGATGATGCTAATTCTATTTTATGGATGAAGAAGCTGAGGTTCAAATGAAATGAGTTGCCCAAGGTCACAGAGCTACAAACTGAGGGAGTCAAGGTTTGAACCCAAGCCTGTCAGACTTCAAGCTTAATGTTTCTTGAATTAAACCCACAGCTACTGATTAGTCCCAATCTTGCCCTTTTGTGCCTCACTAATGAACCTGATCCATCTGTCCCATGACAGTTCTTCAGATAGCTTTAGGTAGCTCGCATGTACGTCCCGTCTAAACTTTCTCCTTTCCAGGCTAAACATCCTTAGTTCTTTGAATCGCTCCTTATGTGACATGGTGTCAGGCCCTTTACTCTCATGGTATCCTTTTTAGGAACACACTCCTGTGTGTCAAAGTGCTTTATAAAATGCACTGTCAAGGGGCGCCTGGGTGGCTCAATTGGTTAAGCGCCCGACTCTTAGTTTTGGCTTAGGTCGTGATCTCAGTGTCCTGGGATCCCGTCCCGCATCGGGCTCTGTGCTCATCATGGAGTCTGCTTGAGATTCCCTCTCCCCCTGCCTCTCCTGCTTGTGCTTTCTCTCTCTAAAATAAATGAATAAAATCTTTAAAAAATGTGCTGTCAAAAAAGTGAATACAGTACTCCAAAAGTGGTCTGACCACCACGGAAGACAGCTGGATTATTTCTCTTACACATTTGCTGATGCCCCCCAGCCCCGAACTTTTTTACTCCAGTAGTCACATTGACAACTGAGTATTGACTACTGAGCATGTAGTCACTTGGAATCCCTAGTTCTTTCAAATCCTTGATTGTCTAAACCGAAATGCAACACCTTGAATTCATCCCTGTTACATTTTGTCTGGTTAGCTTTGACTTCACATTCCAGCCTGCCAAAATCCTTTTAAATCCAGGTTCTGCCTTCCCAGCCTGCCTTCTCTGTCTTCTTCCAGTCAAGTGGAATAGGACAGGGACAGAGCCCTGAGCAAAATTCTGTCTGGCAATGGGCAGATGAGACGAAACTATTTTAGGTGCCCCTGGGTGGCTCAGTAGGTTGAGCCTCTGACTCTTGATTGTGGCTCATGGTCATGATCTCAGGATCCTGGGATCCAGCCCCATGTTGGGCTCTGAGCTCAGCAGGGAGTCTGCTTGTCCCACTTCTCCCCCTCAAATAAGTAAGTAAATAAATAAATAAAATCTTTTTAAAAAAGATGAAACTAGTTTACTGGGAATATTCATGAAGATTCAAGGTCCTAGCCTTCTCTGTCGGTCTGGCCTACCACTGTTCTGCCACTGTTGATTGAACCTTGGCTCTGAGAGTTACTTTCCCTTGAGGTTTTTTCCACATTTTCTCTTCTTAAACCACTTTGTTGATATACATTGATATACAACAAAAAGTTGTCCATCAACAGATGAACAGATAAAGAAAATGTGTTATGTCCATATAATAAAATATAGTTCAATCTTAAAAAAGAAGGAAATTCTGCCATTTGTGACAACATGGATGAACCTGGAGGGCATTATGCTAAGTGAAATAAGCCAGACACAGAAAGACAAATACTACGTGATACCATTTATATGAGGAATCTTAAAATAATCAAACTCCACATTTTCTTTAACCAGAAATTTCTTCCTTGTTGACTAGAATTTTGTCTGGAGAAGCTGTTCCCCTTATTTTTCTTTTTCCTTCCCTTTTTTCCTTCCTTCCTCCCTCCCTCCCTCCCTATTTCCCTTCCTTCCTTCCTTCCTTCCTTCCTTCCTTCCTTCCTTCCTTCCTTCCTTCCTTCCTTCCTTTTTTAGCTTTCTCCCTTCATCTGTAACTATTTCCCCACCTCCTCTAAGATTTGGAATGGTCACAAGCCAATGTTTCCGATGATGCTGTTAGCTGAATTCAAACAGATGTTTGGCTGATTGTCTTCCCCATTACTGTCTATCTTTCCTCTATTTCAATTTTGTGTTTTGCATTTTGAAAGCACTGGCTATACCCTCTGTCTGGCCAGGCAGCCTGTAACATACTGCCACAAAGATAAAACTTCTGTTTCCTCTCCTTTTCATTTCCATGCAAATGTTCTCCACCACACATTTAGACTCGAGTTCATGGGTTTCCATATTGTGGTCTTTCCCGTTTGAACAAGGTATATACTTCCATTACCGGAATTCACTTGTCAACCCCATATTGCCAAGTCCCATTGATACCCAGAAAAATCCTCTTTTTACCTTTTCAAAATTTAGAAATGGTTTCAAAATTACAGAAAAGTTGTAAGAGTAGCACAAAGAATGCCCATATACTCTTTACCCAGATTCATCTGTTGTTAATATTTTGTCCCATTTCCTTTATAATTTGCTAGAAGTCCCCATCTCTCTCTATTTCTGAACCATTTGAGAGTAAATTGCATACATCATGACCTTTGACCACTAAATTCTTCAGTGTAGGTTTTCTAAGAATAAGGAAACTCTTTTATAACCACAGTGTGGTTATCAACTTGAAGAGTTTTGATACAATACTTTTTTTTTAAAATATTTTATTTATTTATTCATGAGAGACAGAGAGAGAGAGAGAGAGAGAGAGGGAGAGAGGGAGAGAGGGAGAGAGAGGGAGAGAGAGAGAAGCAGGCTCCCAAGGAGCAGGGAGCCCGATGCGGGACTCGATCCCAGGACCCTGGGATCATGACCTGAGCCGAAGGCAGACGCTTAACCATCTGAGCCACCCAGGCGCCCTGATACAATACTTTTTCTGATTCCGCCATTCATATTCCAACTTTGACAGTTGACCCAATAACACCCTTTATAATGTATAAAGGACCCGATATTGTCCTTTAGAGTCGAGGATCTGGTATTGCACTTAATTGTCATTATCCCTAGCCCCCTTTAATCTGGAACACTTCCTCAGCCTTTCTTTGTCTTTAACGACATTGACATCTAAAATCCCCTTTTATTTCTTTATTATACTGTCCCTTATTTTGGGTCCCTCTGATGTTTCCTCACGATTTATATTCAAATTATGCATTCATGGCTGGAATACTGCATCGGAGATGTTGCATCCTCCTTAGGACATCACATCTGGAGGCATGTGATATCCACTTGCCCTTCGTTGGGGATGCTAATTTTGTTCAGCTGGTCGAAGGCGTTGCTGGGTTTCTTCACCACGTAGTTACTATTTTTCTTTTTGCTACTAATAAGCAGTCCATGTGGTCATGTGGTGATACTTTGAGATAATGAAAATGTCCTGCTTCCTCATCAAACCCATCCCGCCCCCACTCCTGTTTTAGCATCAGTCAGAAATTCTGCCTGGTCCAGTCTTTACTCTGATGATTGCAAAATGATGATTTTCCAAATGAACGTTCCCTCCCCCATTTACTAGTTGGCACTCCGCATTCTACTGTAAGCAAAAGCCCCACCCTCTATTTATCTACTACTCAGTATGGACTCATAAATTCTCTTTCTTTAGTGGTTTATAATTCTTCACTGCCCTTGCTTATTTTGATGCTCAGATTGTCCAGATTGAGCCAGTAAGGACCGTTTAAGCTGACTCCTGGGTCCTTAAATTCTCCCATCATTTTCTTGAGCACTTTACTTCTAGCAGAACAAAAGATTCTAGGCTCATATTGACCTTACCCTGCCCCAGCCTTGAAATCAGCCATTTTTCCAAGGAACCCTGGTTCCTTTTAATGGGAGGATGTTATTAGAGAACAAGATCTGGGTACTAGAAACACACACATGTACCCATGTATGTATACATATACGCACGCACATAATATACAGACGCACACACCTAACGTACGTGCACATATGGATACACACACACATCTATAGAACTCAAGAGTTCATAACAGTACCTCCAATTCCAGTCCATCCCCACAGGTTCTTTCTTGCCTTCCCCCGTTCCATATTGGTACGTTCCGACTTCCACAGTGAGAACCCTGGCTCCCAACGACATCAACACACGTGCTCATTTGCTTAATCCCATAACGTATCTCACAGTTTCAGAAGTGCTTTGCCCATACCATGACAGAAACAAACAATAGTTCAGGATTTGTTTTCAGTCCTCCTCCTTCTCCCTTCCCCTTGGTGTGGTTGTTTTTCATCTGAAGTGCAGTTGGGTTCATTTGTTTCACTTGCCTTCAGTTTGCGTCCCCACTCTTCCCATTTGTATTGATTTAATTGTGCTTTTCTGAATTCGTAAGGCAACAGGGTGTTTCCCAAAGGGGAAACGAGACAGAAAAGGTGTATTCAAACAAGTACCCCTCTCTCTCCTCTCTTTTTAATCCCATGCCCCTACTCCTCTCCCTTTGCCCGCCAACTTCAAATATATGTACGTTCTCTTATTTGCCTTTCTTTCTTGAAAAAAAAAAAAAAGCATACTATCCATGCTCTTCTGCAATTTGCTTTTTTTCAACTAACAGTATACCCTGGAAATCATTCCATATCAGTTAATTGAGATCTTCCTCATTCTTTTTCATAGCTACATAGTACTTCATTGTGAAGTTCGGTCTTTTGTATTGTTAGAAGCATATGTGGAAGACCATTTATTTCTCTCTTTGTATTAAAATTCAGTGTGCAGTTTATGATTCATACTGTGAATTGGTACATGGATAACCAAGCCCTCCAATATTATTCCTGGCCCTTATCTTTCTTCTCCTTTCATGAGCATGACTGAGCATCTTCACCAGTTATTCTTTCTAGAACATCTCTGTTTGCCCTCCATTATGCTTCTTTTTCTAGTTTTATTTGAGGCTTTTTCAATTTCCCACCAAATTCATTATAAAGCTCTCATGATCAGATCTCTTTCAAAACACTCATGATTATTATTTTTTTCTAAAACACTCATGATTATTTTTAATTTTCAGCCTCACTAATTCCTTTACGAGTGCTGCATAGAAGTGACTAAATTCACTGCTCATTTTCCTTGCCCATTCCTTTGCATGCTTTGCTAGAATGGTGGTTAAAAAGTAGTAAACTGATTGAAAAGCAGATAACAGAACAGAGAAGTCTCGATAATTCATAAACCAGAAAGTCAACCCCTCTTTTACTCACAGTTAGCCAAATACATGTTTTTAATTATGCACATTTTTCTCTGTTTAAGTCAGTGTTTATGGTCCAAAGAGTTTCGAAAGCAGAAACCTAGATCTCTGAGTTTGGGAGGGAAGAAGGTTCCAGGCAACAGTGTGTTCCTGGACCACCCAACCTCAAATGGGTATTAGAACCAGGAAGGGGCAAAAATGGGTAGTGTCAAGTGAGGAGACGGTAATGTTTGCTTTGGTTCTCATGCCATCTCCTTGGCTTCCCTATGATACCTCGGAGCCCAGGAGGGGGTGGGAGAGATGAGCCATAAGCCCTGAAAGCTTCGCTACCTTGCAGGGACAAAGCAATGTTGTGTGCACCTCATGAATTGTCCCAGAGTGGAGAGCGCAGTGGACTAGGGTTATACTCAGCACCATCACCATCTGTCTGTGGCCTTGGGCAAGTCACTTTTCTTCTCTCAATCCTAGTTTCCCATTTGTAAAATGAGGGAAATAGGGCGTGTAGGTGTCCTGTTGGCTCTGAGATTCCATGTTCCTGTGCTCTCTGCCCAGCGCCTCTCCATCCATACCAGGCCAGGCTCAGCTGTCAGAGGATTGGACCTTGGGTGTAAAGATCCAGAGACTCCGTAAAAGTGATGATTCTGAGACTTTTCTAGAGTGGCCTTTCCCATATTATCGGGCAGAAAACTGAAGCCACCTAACTTTCACTAGTGGTGGCATTCAACTGCCAGAGGCAAGGAGCCTGGTGTAAGCCTAGCTCCGTGGGAGGAAAGAGACAGAAGATATTTAGCTCACTCTGTCTCCTGGGACTCAAAAGAAAACAAAATGAAATTCACTTTTTTTTTTTTTTTGGTGGTGGTAGCGGAGGTTGGGGGGAGGCTTTTGATGAATTTTCAATGTTCTTCTCATCCTATCTCTATTACCTCCTGGTTAATGTCCTTGTCTCTACCCCCCTCCACAGGCCTGTACAATTCAGTGGATAGCTGGATGATTGTGCCCAACATTAAACAGAACCACTACACAGTGCATGGACTTCAGAGCGGGACCCGCTACATCTTCATTGTTAAAGCCATAAACCAAGCAGGCAGCCGGAACAGTGAACCCACCCGACTAAAAACAAATAGTACGTTGAGGTGATTCCAAAAGGAGAGCTCCGTTTTCCCCTCCACAGGGACTCACAGCAGTGCAAGAGAGCGGAGGCCCTGAGTAGAGGAGCTTTAATAGTTCATGCTTTGGGCACAGGGTTTGTTGGTGCCCTTGGGAAATACATGAACACAAAGATATGTACAAAGTATATGTAGTAGTAGCTGGTGTTTGGGGAGGGTGTTAGTAAAGTAAAGGGTTTTTCTCTGCATCCCATCCCATGCTAGGGGAACAGTTGTGTAAGACAGTACTTTGGAATAATCTGGTAGCCTCCTGCAGAGAAGCCATCCATACCTGATAGGAATGCTTCTGACCTAAGGTGACTGGAAATCCAACTAACTCGGCTTAACAAATAGTATTTTTTTTTCTCTTTCTCATGTAGCAAGAAGTTTGAAGGTAGGCAGTTCAGGGCTGGTGCAGCAGCTAGTTCTGTGATGTTGTAACAGACCCAAGCTCCTTCTCCCTTTGGGTATTGACTTACTGTCACATGGCCACAATATGGCCCTTGCGACCTCCAGATGCCATATTTCCTTTTAAGATAGGAAGAGGGGGAGAGGGTTGGTGCACAGGATGGCTGTCTCTTCTATTGGGAAAGCCTGGCACTTTTTCCAGAAGTGTCCCCAACCCTGTCTGACTTCTGTTTCCATCTACTTCCATCTTATTAGCCACCCCCAGCAGCAAGAGAGGCTAGAATATTTTGCTTTTCTAGCCTCTATGGTGAAAGAGGAGAAGGGGGAGTGTGTTCGCCAACAGTGTCTGCCATGGACCCATTTTGTATAATACAGCTCTTGCCATACCCAGCAATTGGATTCTAGTCATTTGTTTCATCATATGGTTATAAGGAATCCTCTGTCACGAATGATCCTACACAACAAATGTTTTCTCTGATCATTCCTGATGCATCAGTCACTCTAACGAAGTTACCTAATCATATGTTATTTACATCCCCATTGTAAGAGGGTAGAAAGATGGTCTTCACTGAGTTCTTCTCGTTTTTTTTTTGTTGTTCTGCCACCAACCAGCAATTACCTCATCAGTTCCCCTCACTTTGTCTCACCTCAAATACTCCTTCCCCTAAGACCTACTCAAATCCCAAGCCACCCACTGAAATAAAGCAGAATATAAAACATACCTGAGAACATGAAAGCCTGAGAGCCCCCTCTTCATTTGATAACCCATTGAGGGAGGCAGCTTATTCTTCTTTTATTGAAAATGGTGGCTTCAGGCCCTACTTCCTTAATATAATCCAAATAGCAGCCAACTTGCACTGGCTCAGGAATGATCGTCCTATCAGGAATCCCCTGGTAGCGATAGTCCTGGAGGACAGAGATGGCATTCTTAAATACTTTCCCATGCATTGTCTTTTTTTTTTTTTTTTTTTTTTTTACTTTTTTTCAGGCCAACCCTTTAAACTGGATCCCAAAATGACTCACAAGAAGTTGAAGATCTCCAATGATGGGCTGCAGATGGAGAAGGATGAGAGCTCTCTGAAGAAGAGCCATACCCCGGAGAGGTTTAGCGGCACAGGCTGCTATGGAGCAGCAGGAAATATATTCATTGACAGTGGCTGCCACTACTGGGAGGTGGTCATGGGTTCCTCCACCTGGTGAGTGGATCCCACTTTTAGTTTTTCTCCTCCTTTTTCCCTGCCATTAGGTTCCTGGGAGCTCCAGGTCCACAGCACGAACATAGTACCCGTAGGTCAGGGTTAAGAGGCAGGTGATGAAAACCACGCCTAGAAAAATTGGCCAGCTTTTACAAAAACAAAAATATAAAATCTTGCGAAATACACCGGGCCAGGAGTTGGAAATTCCTCCAGCACTCTAACTGCTGACTTCGTAAAGCTCTCATGCTATCAACATTATGGATCTAAATGTAAACTATTTAGTAAAGGAAGAAGCATGCATCAGATTTCTTATATATCCCATATGGTGCCTAGCACCACTCAGATCATTAATAAGTGTTTATTTCTCTCTCCTTTCAACGGTCTCACAGGTATGCAGTTGGTATTGCCTACAAATCAGCTCCCAAGAATGAATGGATTGGCAAGAATGCCTCCTCGTGGGTCTTCTCTCGATGCAATAGTAACTTTGTAGTGAGACATAACAACAAGGAAATGCTGGTGGATGTGCCCCCACAGTTGAAACGTCTCGGTGTTCTTCTGGATTATGACAACAACATGCTGTCTTTCTATGACCCAGCTAACTCTCTCCATCTTCATACTTTTGACGTGACCTTCATTCTTCCAGTTTGCCCAACATTCACAATCTGGAACAAATCCCTAATGATCCTGTCTGGCTTGCCTGCCCCAGATTTTATTGATTACCCTGAGCGGCAGGAATGCAACTGCAGGCCTCAAGAATCCCCTTATGTTTCTGGGATGAAAGCTTGCCATTAAGTTTCCAGAGAGTGTATAAGTCACTGGCTCTCCAGTCCAGCAGTTCTTCCCCTCCTAAACCTCAGTTAGTGTCCAATATACAAGATACAAAATAAAGTTCATCTGAAGCATCCAAAATAACTAGATATTATAGATTTAATTTTCGTGCATTAACGCTTGTATTCGAATTAATGTATTGAGTCTCTCAGAACGAATTGTCTGAGGAGTCTGGGTTCAAGCCATTGGAGGAGAAATTTAAGAATACCTCTCTTATCATTGGAGAATTAAAAATTCCCAGTGATTTAGGAGTATAAATGATATTGGAAGGAATTAGGATAATTCTAAGTAAATAATGTAGAAAGATGCTCTGAACAAGGGGCTAGCCAGCCGGAAAGGTGTGTGTGTGGGGGGTGTCAGCCTTTCTGGCACTGGCCAGTTTGGCCAAGTAGAATTTTGAAGTGTCGAAGGATCACATATTATATGTAGTTTTTGATAAAAAGCCTACAATCAAGGATTTATTATATGAAGAACATGTATGTGTATATATAATATATATATAAAATGAATACATAATATATGTTATGTATTCATTTTATAATTATATATACATAATAAATTTTTTGATTTGCTCATTTGAGTGAGAAACATACTGGAAGGAAAAATAAGTTATATCATTCATTTTTGTCCCCTAAAGGGAACATCATCGAAATCAGGCAACATTTCCTCCCTCCCTCCATTCATCCGTCCCCTTCTCCCTCCTGTCACACACACATGTGCAATAATGACATGGATGGTGGGAAGAGCTCTAAATTGGATTAGGAGAGATTGGGGGACAAGATTGCACAAGAGATGCTATTGCTGGATAGAAAATTGATCCAAGTAGAAGCACAGTTTCACTGAGGCTACTTAATGGAGGAGGTTCCTTTGAATTGTTTAAAAATTCCGTCACAGAATGTCTCAAAGAAATACCATTTTATTACTCTCAAATACATACAGTTACTAGAATTAGGCTAAAAAAAAAAAAAGAGTTGCATAATGGATGTTCTTTAGGAACTTTATTTACTTAATCAGTAAGAATGGAGTGTTCTAGATGAAACAACCATTTGCATATAAATGTACTTGTATTTTCGGATAAAACACTTCTGAAGTGCTTCAGAATGCCGGAGAACAGTGTTTTCCTAAACAGGTTAAAGAATTGTTCCTCTTGCGATCTTGTTTACACTAGTCATCTGCTTAGCGGAGCCTTCAGTGGCCAATGCAAATGTAACTTTCATCCCTCCCAGTCTTCCTCGCTATTGTTGAAGGGCATCAAGTTTTACGGTCTGTGCTTTTGTCAGTTCCACTGCAGGGACTGGGGATGTCAGAACCAGAGCTTTCTCCTTCCCAGGAGATAAGTCCACCTCAAGGAGTCTGCTTCTCGGGAGTTGCAAAAATATTACTTTTGTACAAAGCAGTAGCTGTCCCAAGCCACCAGACGAGCCTTGAAACAATGCCAAAACGTCTCCCCTCTTCCTTCCGACCACCTCGGTGGACATTCATTCATTCATTCATTCAACAAACTACTAGATGCTGGGTACCACTCTGCTGCTGATGTATTGATAAAAACACGTCCCTTGCTGTCAAATGCCTTACTATTCTGTAGGAGAGACAAAGTATCTATATAAATCCCCTAAATAACAGCTTTGTATTGTTTGTTCACCTAACAGGGAAAGCAGGACTGATGCGCATACAGATGGCAGGCTCAAACTTATGTTATCTAGCAGCAACGTCGGCCTTTTGGTTGAAAAAACTGCCTGTCATTTCTGCTAATTAGGAAAGGAGCAACCTCAGTCAGATCCAGCAGTGCCGGGAGCTAGCTTGCTGCCGTGGAAAGCCTTTGGACTAAAATAATCCTAGTTCTTCTGCCATTTCCTAGCAGTGTGACCTAGGGTAAGCACTTCACTTCTTCGAGCCTCTGTTTCCTCTTCTGTAAAATAATACCTACCTCACAAGGCTGTTGCAAAGATTTCAAAAGATAGCACATGTAAACTGCCTAGCACAGCACCTGGCATGTAGTGAAGTGCGCAAGAAATATTAACCTCCTCCTCCCGGCCCCGGCCCCAGTACAGTGTAGTGGTGCTTTAAAATGATGCCTTTCATTTCTCAGTTACTCTGGTCTCTCCTCGAGGGCTCAGCCCCCAGTTTTTAAACAAAAGAAATGATTTCCCCACCCCCCCCTTCAGAAAACCTCTCACTGGCTCCCATAGCATTCAGTAGAAGGTCCCATTTACTTAGGGTTTGGCCTTTTCAGGTCCCCGTTTGCTTTCCCAGCTTCATCCTTTGCCACTTTCCTCCTTCCACTTGTTACTGTAGACAAGGTCAACTCTTCGTACAAGTTGTTCTCTGGGCCCGGAATAGAAACATTACTAACAGTTCTGATGCCCAGAGTGAACAGGAATTGTTCTGACATTGAGGGAATCGTGTGAAAATGCTATAAACGCAGAACACACCCCCTCCACCCCAGTCCAATTCCCTTTACCTTATCCTCGGGGCTCCCCAGCTATTCATTTTTTTGTGCCCTTTAGGTTTTAGTGGCCTGGGACAAAGCTTCAATTTCCCCTCCTTACATTTGACCCTAGCCTAGACTACCTTTCCCCACCCCGCCCCTCTCAACCAGATTGACTCCTGACCCTCTCCCCCAGCCCCTAGACTGGGGTATGTTCTCATCTGAGCTCTCATGGCACCCTGAGCGTTCCCCACCCCCTTCTCAGCAATAATCACCTTGTATAGCAGTGTTTTTCGAAGTGTGGTCCTCAGACCGCCTGTTAGAGTCACCTTTGGTGTTTGTTAAAACAATTGATCCTAGACCCCACTCCTGATCTACTTAATTGGACTATCTGGGCACATAAGTGGAATTTTACATTTTGAACAAGTTCCCAGGTAATTCTGATGCACACAAAAGTTTAATGTATAATAATCATCTTCCCTACTAGACTGTGAATACCTTGAGGGCAGGGACTGTGTCTTTTGTTGTTGTTGTATTTTTTAATACTCGGCATGGTGCCTGGAACAGAGTGGTTGCCTGACTAATGTTTATTGAATGAATGTATGAATGACGAATGAATAAGCAAAGTTTCCCTGTTGTACTCTGATATCCATACCGGTGTCTGTTATTTCCTGGGCAGAAAAGCTTGGTTGCTTCTCCATTTGGGCTATGTTAATATTATTTTGCAAATGTCCCAGGACTCACACATATAAATGACTATTGTCTGCCTCAGAAGCTCTTTGGAAGTTAACTTGGGGAATTGTCTAGAGCATGTGGCACCATTCTTTTCAAGAACTTTCCAGTCTTTTCAAACTTCGTTCTTTGAAGGTGGATTTAAGTTTGGGCTATAGCCAAAAATCACTCAGAGCTTAACCTACTGAATAATGCAGGAAATTAAACTGGGTTTGAGGTAAGCAACGACGTTTCTGAGCCAAATAATGAAAAGTGCTTTCCAAGAAACAACATGGTGGTAAAGTACACCTGTGGGGGTGTGGTGAGTCCCGGAGACTTCAAGGCTTTCATAGATAGTGGCAATGCCAGGGACCTTATTGACTGCCTCTAGCTAAATAAACCCAGTTGGACAAAGGGAATAGGACCTGTATTTAACATCTTCAAGGAAGGTGACGCCCTCAGTTTTCATTGTTGTTGCCCTACTCAATCTATTTCCCTACAGTCCTTTCTGCTAGCAAATTATTCTTTCTGTCTGCAATTTATGCTTGTTTCCACTTTTTTATATTGTCTTATTGAAGAAAGCACAAAATTAATCAAAATAAAGTTAAACCTGTTTTGAGACTATGACAGAAATTTTAATGCCACATTGGAGTTGTGACTACTTGTAAGTAAGAATTGCTGCATCTGTATGTGTTTTTATCATGTAATTCCATTGTGTAACTTTGGATGCAGTGAAATTCAGATTTCAGCAAAATCACTTTTATGTTCTTTTCAGCTTAAATACACTAGGTGAATTTTCTAAGCTTCCATGGTTTACATATTTATATATGACTACCTGGATGGAGCAATCCATGGATGGACTTTTTGATAAGCTCAAATATTTGATACCCTTTCCTCTACAGAATGGAAATGTGAGGCTGACAGATAAGAACCACTCCCATGCTTATTTCAATTCCTGAAGCCAATTGCAGCCTTGGAGCCGTTGTCTGTATTTGGCTGTGTATTACAGGTTGGCCAGGTGGACTGCCATCAGGGCAGGTAAAACTGCCTTTTACGGTCTGGTCTGCCAGCTTCAGACATATACTGTGTTGTTGTTGTTGGCTAGAATATTTATTAGACTATCGTCGGACTATTTTTTATTAAATATTTTATCCCAGGCTTGTTTGTACTGGGAGCTCTGGACCAATAGTGTCTCTCCTAGTGACAGAAATCTGAGCATCTGTGGATTACACAGCCTCATCCTTCTAAAATATCCCAGCCATCCAAAATGCTATATTATGAATTAAATAAATATATATGTATTCATGAGTTCTCGATTGTCTTTCACTGGAGTTTAAATTGGGGGAAGATGAAAAGAAAGATGGCCATGGGTTACTGGACTTGTCTAAATGACTTGGGGGGAAATCAGATATCATATAAAAGGTAGAGATCTGGGCAGAGAAGATCCAGGGGGTCCAGAAATCAGGATCCAGTCATGAAGACTGGTTTCAGGAGCAGACAACAGTCAGGAAGACTAAAGAAATGAAGGTATAAGGCCCAAAGAGACATGCACATTACTTTTGAGGGATTGAAGCAGAAACTGGGAATTAAGGAATAACAAAGAAAATCCCACAGCTGGAACCTATTGGTGAAGATCCAAGTAGGGCCAGAAGTGACTTGAAACAGGTTGTCAGAACAAGGGCCTATAGAAATGATGGCCCCAACACAAGAAGATTAAAATGTAAAAGAGACAAGAATTTGGAATATCAGGGCCTTAGTGTTCTAACTGGAGAGCAACCTAGGCAAAGGCCAAATATGGGGCTATTACCCACCGCTAAGATTGGGATGTGACGTTTGGAAAGTCTGGTTCTATTTGATAGGCTAGGCCAGAGAAGATATGGGGTTCTTTATGTTCCCCTACCTAGGAATAGGGTTCCTCCTGGAGTCCCAATGAAACTGAGCCTGT